ACCTTAGAAGCCCTAGTATAGATGACCTTAGAGGCCCTATGGGTGACCTTAGAGGCCCTAGTATAGATGACCTTAGAGGCCCTATGGGTGACCTTAGAGGCCCTATGGGTGACCTTAGAGACCCTGTAGATGACCTTAGAGGCCCTATGGATGACCTTAGTGAGCTAAGTGACTTTTATCATCCAGTTTTTGGTAGAAAAAGAGAAAAACGGTAAAACACGCAAATGGAAACGATTGAGCTCATTTTAATTTATCATGCGATTAACTGATTTGTTGTTTATTGTGACAGGCCGAGTTACAAGGATTGATGCTAAAGTTATTCCAGCACTAAATGAGACTTCGAACAGTATTGATTCATCATCAGCTGCTCCAGGTTTATCTGCACATGTTGCCGTCCAGCAGGTTTTCAGGCTGTGACACAGACTGACCAGATGTGATGCCTGGGATGAATAATCTGCAGAAAGCGTTGGTCGCTGATCAAAGACCGAAGTGTTTGGGTTCCTGCAGGAGGATGGAGGCTTTGAGTCGGACTGTAGAGAAGCAACCAGTGTTGGTTTGGCTCCATGCAGCCATCATGTGCAGAGTTTTAACACCGCTTGTCCTGGAGGATGGAGTGTGTGTGCGTGTGTGTGAGAGATGTGGAGCATCACAAACGGTGAATGCTGCTGCTGGTACTGCTGATCAGAGGACGCAGAGTCAAGCTAAAAGTCTTGAGTCTGATGTTTTGTTTGAACTAGACCGTCTTTTGAAGGACAATTTTGTATACAGAAACTTCATAATGAATTTTATTTTTTGTTTCCGTTTTATTTATTTTGGATTTTAAAATTGTCTTCGAGTTCCTGCGTTCCTAAAAAAGAGTTCCTTCGAGTTCCTAAAAAAGTTTCTAAAAAAGTAACAATAACAATTGTTATTGCAGTTGTTTATTGCAATAACAATATAAGATAACAGGAAGTGAGCCAGTCGCGTTGAAAACTTAAATTCACATGACAGATTATTCTTTGTTCACAGATCTGCATGCTCACATCAGTCTCTCTGCTCGCTCAGGTTGGCAGCACAAATACAACGTCGCACACAGAAGGCTGATCTTCTTATAGCCTGCTAACGCTAATGCTAGCTAGCATCTGCCTCGGCTAGCTGCGTCTCCGGTAACGTAAACATTAGCTCGGTGACGCGCTCCAGTCGGTCAGCAGCTAATGATGTTTAAAACTCCCAAAGCTGATGGTTTTGTCAGGATTGTTGTTTTTTCTCCATTGTTTCTGCAGTGAGAGCATCATATCAGTAAATCTGAAAATATGATGAAATGCAGTTACTGTGTGCAGTTCAATGATATGAATCACACTTCTTTATAAATCTGAATGTTTCTGAAGAGCAGTGTTAGCCATATGCCATATAGTTGCCTGAAAAAGATCATAAATAGTTCAGTTTTATCGTTATCACAGCAGTACCACAAAATGTGGTGATAAAACTGTAAGTCCATGTTGGCCACTGCTCCTGTTTAGTGATGAAAACCACAGCAGAGCAGACTGTCACCAACCAAACACAGATTGATTTTATCATTAAAAAATATCACACAATAACACAAGTTTCACGATCCTCAGTCATCTTCATCAGGTCGTATCAGGTGGAGTCTTCTTCAAACCTTCCTGCAGGAATCCTTGGGTTTATTGAGTTCTGCATCTACCTGAGCCTCTCCTGCTCCTGAAGGCCAAAAAATCTTTTTCTCCTCCCCACATTTTCTTCTTCACATTAGCTAAATATGAAGTCAGACTCCGGCTTCAGAGAAACCAGGTCACCGAGGGAAGCGGCTCGTTTGCATGCTCTCTCCTGACCCAGTAAGAGAGGATTCAGCTGAAGATCCGACGGAGCGCGCCGCTTCCTGCCTGGTGACGGTTCCACTGAGCAGCAGAACCGAGAAAACCTAAGAAATCACCAGGCAGCCTCAGTACAACCCGTATTAATCTAATATTCATCAAACTGTTGTGTTCACTTAATTACCCACAGATGCATGCAGCGATGCTGGACAGTTAGAGACGAATGATAAATGCAGAATCACTATTTTATGAAGGTCTGACTCATCGTTCATGTAACCTCCTGATATCATTCGGGACGATGAACAGGCAGATTTTTATGGATTCTCAAACTAACGTTTCACATCTAATCAGTCAGAATCAGACATTTTTAGAGACGTGTTCACTGCAAAAACACACAGTTTTAGTCTCATTTCTGGCAAAAATAAAGTAATACACTTCAATGAAGACAAAACTAACTTAAAAGTTCATCTTATTTCAAGTGAAAAACTACTAGTTCCTTTGTCAGATTGTTTCATTAAAAATGTGGGGAAAATATCTTGTATTAAGTGAAATAATCTGCTGATGGAACAGTTAGTTTTTCATCCATACTGAGGAATTATTGGCTTAAAACAAGCTCATAATTCTCACAGAAAACTTACTTTTAAGTTAGTTTTGTGTTATTTCATGTGTATTAAGATGTTTGCACTAGAAACCAGACCAAAGTTAGCTGGTAAGATTTTGTGTTTTTGCAGTGAAATTATTAAAACCAAAATAAACCAAAGTCTTTTCATCGTCTCCTTCCTGCTCCTGAAGAGCCAGTCTTTCTTTTCTGTGTGTTTTCTCAGCTCTTTGTGTGTGTGTGTGTGTGTGTGTGTGTGTGTGTGTGTGTGTGTGTGTGTGTGTGTGTGATGTCAGATCTTCACTGCATGAGCGCGCCGCTCCACCTCTGCTCCCACTGCAGCTCAGGTTGGTGATGAGCGCGGCAGATTGGGTTTCACCGTTTTGAAGCCCCCTCACCGTCTCCATGGAGACCATAAAAGGCGTCGGCTCGTCGTTTGGAAAGAGGCTAATGAACCGGATGAGTCGAGCCGGCGCCGAGTCCAATCACTTGGTTTGGTCGGAAACAAAGAGGAGGGAAGAGAAGACGGAAAGAAGAATCCGGTTTAGATTCGGTGGAAACGTTTTGATCCAACCGATGAATTATTAACACACTGGGCAGAAACTACTTACATTTACTTAACTACATGTTTTGAAAAAAATCTACTTTTAGGAATATTTTTACTACGCTGTAATTTTTGCCTTGAGTAACTTTATTATGAAGTATTTTTACTCTTACTTGAGTAAAATATGTGGATTTTCTTCCCACTGAATGAAAAACAAACATGTTTTAACCAAAAGTCCACCAGACACAGACACACACCTGCAGGTTCTGTTAAAGTGTCATATTGACAGAAACTGATTTGGAAACATTTACTTTTGCATGATTTTGTTAATCATATGAATTATTTTTCATTTTCATCCTTAAAATACCAAGATTTCCACATAACTTTTCGTTTGGTAAGCTTGAAGTTTTTTAAATATGAAATGATAATTTGATCAGTTTCCCAGTACTTGAATAGACCAAATCCTCTTTTACTTCTGCATGAGTGCAGTTTTTGGATGCTCCGCCCACCTGGTGATTAAAACTCATTAAATCCTGAACTGGGTGGATAAAACTTCAAACCTTTAAACCAAACAGACCTGCAGCGTCTGTAGCTGCAGGTTTAACCAGAAACCATCACTTTGTTTGCTGGTGTCATATTTTTACCTTTTTTTGACCCAAATTATTGTCAACCTTTGCAAATTTTGCCCATTTTGAAAGTTGCAGTAGATTGTTGCTGGTTTTCTAAAGTTTGAGCTTCTTGATTGTGTGAATCTACACTGAGATGATCAGTTATGATCTGTACTTTTCATCTAATTAGATTTTAATTCTGACAGAAGAAAATTTGTTTTAGAGGAAAAATTTGAATCTCAGAAAATAAAACTGCACTTGGTATTATTATAGTAATGTAACACTAAGCATCTTAAAATGACGCTTTTTATTTATTTCTTGCAATAGTTGGTGTTTTTTTTCACTCTTTTGGTGATGACATAATTGCATGAAATAGAGACGTGATGCTGATGGTTGTTTGGCTGGAAACTCACTGAAACAAGCCAGACTCCTGATTTAAAATAGTTCAGAACCGTCTGGAACCGTTCTCATGTTCTGCACAGGCTTCAGGTGTCGCATATCAACGGTCAGAATGACTATAAAGATGGAAGAATATCAGCCGTTATGGTTGTTTTAAACTCAAATATTAGATTTAATTCCATATTTAAACGGGCTCTGATTGGACGGCAGGACGTTGCGGTTCAGGAAGAGGCGTTTGGATCTGGGTGAAGTGAGTTTAAAGCGGGAACAGAGACGCGATCCGGCCTCGGTGGAACTCATTTCCTCTGACAGGTCGGCTCACTGCCTTGGGGCTCAAACTGCGCTCTGTCCATTTTCATTTCACATGTGGAGCCGCGGCTCTCCTCCGGGTCAGACATGATCAGCTCACGCTCAGCTGCCAAGGCTGGAACCAAACTGGCTTCAAGACAGAAGCTCTTAAATACCAGAAGACACCAGCGAGAACTTTCCTGACAGTCCGTCTAAATGATGTAGAAACTTTAAAACGTTCCTGATGGAGCAGTGCTGCCTGGAATATTATTGGAGCTGAATTTAGGAGTTTAACCTCCAAGTCTCAAAGTTATCGACCTAAAGTTTCATATCTGTGTGTTTCTAATTGTTTAGTTTAGATATTAATGATTCATCTTTGGTTATTAGATGTTTGCTCAGCTCTGTTTGTCTTCCTGTTCCCATCTGAGCAGGAGTCAAAGCTCTGATTGACGAGGTTAATCTTTGTTTAAATGTCAGAGGTTGTCAATATGAGACGTGTGTGTGTGTGTGTGTGTGTGTGTGTGTGTGTGTGTGTGTTCAAGCTGAGCAAACATTCAGCCTGTGTGTCAGATTTCACCTCCTCCTGTGTTAGTCTAACACCGCTGTGCGATGCAGAGCGCCGGATTAGCCCACATCCTGCCTCAATCACCAGAAAAGCTCTGGACGAAATATTCACTGGGAATTTAAGAGTTTAAAAAATATATGATGCAGGTCATCAACAAACGAAGGAGGAAGAATGTGACAGGAAATAACCAGAACAGAGTTTATGTGGACGCAGGATGTGATGTCACAGCGGTGAGGCGTGTTGGGCGTACTGTGCAGGGTGATGTGTCTGTCTGTTAATCTGCTGCCTCTGGTGGTGAGGAGGTGTAAATGCCTCCGTTTCCTCCTGACATCCGGCCTGAAACTGACGGTGCAGCTGCAGGTGCAGCTCCTCCATGACTGATGCAGCCGTGTTGAAACGTTCATGGAGACGACGGGTCGAGTGAATTCTCGGCCCAGATTCTGTCAGTGATGACAAAATGAAAGGAAAAACAACGTTGAACCCAAAAACACAATGTAGGCGTTTATGTCTGCGTTTGTTCGGATCTGACAGATGAACCTGAGGAGATTGATGGAGGAGCGACTGCAGCAACACGTTTGGGGCCGAAGCGTCTCTAAGGGGAGCAGCGATGACCCGGTTATTCTTCAGAGCTGCGTCCAAACGGCTCGGTGTCATCGGTTCACGTTTGTTTCCTGAGACAGCCTGAGAGAGCCCGATCTTCATCACAAAGATAAAACAACGTTTTCCTTTCTCTGATCCGTCCTCAGAAGAACCCGCTGGTGATCGGCGGCAGGAGTCGTGCGGATCGGCTCCAATTAATGCGAATATTTTAAATCTTCATTGTTTTAACCTGGGAGGAAACACAAAGCCGCTCCTGCTCCTTCAGCGCCGAACGCAGAGCTAGAAGTTTGAACCTCCTCCCTCTCCTGCCTCCAACTGAAGCCACAATCTCTCCCCAAGTCCCCAAACTCATCCCAAAATCCGTCTCATCTCCGTTCCTCCCAGTTTTTTATTTTTTCTTCTTCAGCTGTTTGAGCTGCTTTGAGAAGTCAGAGTAAAAAAAACAGATTCATGTCGAGCCGAGCTTCACTCCAACTGGCTGCTAGGAATCCTGCAGGAAACAAGAGCAGCAGAAACACAAGAGACCCTCACTGGTTTTAGACAGAACTTACTGGTTTCAAACATTTCACTGGTTTTAGACAGAACTTACTGGTTTCAAACATTTCACTGGTTTTAGACAGAACTTACTGGTTTCAAACATTTCACTGGTTTTAGACAGAACTTACTGGTTTCAAACATTTCACTGGTTTGGGGATTATTTCCCTCATGTTTACAGTTTAGAGCTCAGTTAAAAATAGATCAATGAATCCCATCCCTCCCAATAAAGCTAAAGAATCATAAATTCAGATTTTGACCTTTAACCTCCATTGCAGTGGAGCTCCATATGGCTGCTGATTGTTTGATTTATTAAACTAAAGTAATTTGTCCGTCCATCTATCCGCATCAGTGTAGAACATCTACAAAAAGTTATTTTTTTAAGTTTGTTTTATGATGTAACTTATGAGTTAATAAGGAGAACCTGTCATGAGCCAAAAAGCAGAAATAATGATGATTTTAATGAAGCCTTTATAATTAGATTGATCAACTAATGCCTGCTTCTAGATGATCCTGCAGTTCTTCAGCTGCTGGCAGATCAAACTCCAACAGGGGAAGCCTTCGGTGTTCTCTGAATCATTGACTTTAATGATCAGAGTACATTCAGCTGCAGATATTACAAACAAGCAGAGCAGAAAATTAACACCAGGGCGGCTGGAGGGTCCCAGTCTGTGACTGGGAACGCCTCCTCCTCCACCGCCTCCGGTCTGAAAGCATGTCAGCCTCTGGAACCGGTTCAGAGCTGCCCTGTTTGCCCATTTAAAGAGGCAGTTTTATGTAAAATCGACTGTTTTGAGCTTCCCATCATGTTAAAATGTTAAAACAAACCTAAAATGTTGCTTTGATTCTTTCATGCATGTTTGAGAAATCATTTAATCTCCACGGCAACCCATTCAGCTGTGGACCTAGCCCCGCCTTCGAGGCGTAGCTCCTCCCACTCTCAGCTCCTTCAGACTAGCCAGCAGCTATTGGCACACCTGGTGGAACTGCTGAGCTCATCATAGGATCTGCTTCTCTGGTAAAAATGTTGTTAAAGGTTTAACAGAGAAGCCATGTTCAGACAACTTCCTGAAGGTGGAGCCTCACAGAGCTGGAGCTTCTTAAAGAAACAGAGGCCCAATTTCAAGCCGTTAAATCAGGAAGTCCAATTTGTTTTAAGTCATATTTGATATAACATTTGTATAACAACATAATTACTTGATTGTGCGATAAAAGGAAGATATGTGCCTGAAAAACTGGTTGATTCTTATTTGGATTCAGGTCTAAACTTTGACTAGGCCATTCTATCAGATGCATCTGTTTCGATCTAAACCATCCGCTGGCTGTATTTTAGGGTGGTTGTCCTGCTGCAAGGTGACCTTTCACCCCGGTAACGAATCTTTTGCAGCTTTTCAGAATTCTTCTTCTGGTGTTTCGCTCCGTTCAGCATTATCTTCTGAATAACCTCTAACTCACACTAGCGGAAAAACTTTGCTGCCATTTCGTTTCCTGATGTTTGGCAGTCGAGTTAAAACTGAACTTCATGGATGGAAGACGTTGGTTTGACGCTGCGGCTGTTTACACAAACTCCTATCCTCCCTGAAATCCTTTCAGCTCTCTTTATGTTTTAGAAAACAAAAGCTCCAGCAGTGTGATCACACATGATTTCTCCTCGTTTGAGTTCTATGATTTGTTTCGTGGCGCTTTGAAAATTCAGACATCAAAGCTTTGACTTTCAGACTGTCGCTCTGCAACTCGCTAATTGGTTTCAGTTTGATGAAGTCTCTTCGGTTTCTAAACTCTCTGCCGTGTTTCCCTCGCCTGTTTCTGCCTGGTGAGCGTCTCAATGTCTGATTTTATTTGTTTACATCAGAGATTAAAGAGAAATTAGGAATTAGGAAAAAACTGAACAAATGTGGGCTGTTTGGAGAGACTGTGTTTATAAAAATATATCAGAATCACTTTAAGTTGCAAAGCTGCACCTGAATGAAACTTTAACTCCAGGATGTTCTGCAACCAGAGCTCTGGTTTACTGAGGGCAGGGCTTAAAAATAATAGATGAAAATTGGCAAGTTTGGATGCCTGATTATCAGAAAATATTCGCCTAATATTTCAGCCTCAGTTATACTAATCTTTTAACATCATTACACGTTTAGAATAAACACAAAAACTTCCCACCAATATACAAGAACTTAGTTAAATGGTTAAATCAACAAACACACAACTGGTGTCAGTAAAATGATGAAACTAATAAACTACTAAAAAGAGAAAATTGTGAAAAATATTCAAGAATAAAACCAACAAAATCATGAAAGTTGATTTAAGAGGAATTTGGAAATGAGGCCAACTGATTCAGATTAGACTTTGTGTTCTCCACACAGCAGCTCCAAAATGTGGAAAACGGCATGAAATAAAATACAGAATCAAAGATGGCAGCGATATCACAGAGAAATGGTATAAACAAAGTCCGGTGTAGCATGAAACATGCACTTTAAGCGCTTCTGTTTAGAAATATAAACACTAAGTTTCACCATAATGGCGCTCACTCAGCTGATCTGCATCAAATTCCCGACCAAAAATAAGCCAAACATTTCTCTGTTTCTGGGGGATTTAGTGTTTCACATGTTTTATTCTTTTCATCTTTTATTTTTCTGTCCAATAACCTAAGAACTTTCTGTTTTGTTTTGTTTTATAAATATGTAAGTTTATTCATGTGAGAAAACAACAGTTATCTGTTCATTTAGTCAGTATTTACTCTGGTTTCCCTCAGAGTTTTATCAGCCTGGCGGGCCACCAGGCTGGCTGGAGCCCCGCCAGGCTGAGCGTTGCTTGTTTATATATTTTAGGCTCCCCCCCCCCCTATTAAGACTTTATAGTTGCTGTAAGGGAATTGTTAATGTCTTTAAATAACACAACTACTTGGTGATATTTTCAAACTTCCTGTCATCTTTAAACATTTTTTAACTGAAAAACTTGGCTGTCCTGGCGCCGCCACCACCAGGCTTAGCAAGTTTTCTCAGGGCATAAAAATTTTAAAATATAAAGTTCTTTAAAATAATTCAGCATCATGAAAGATTTCTGAAAGTATGGTCGGCCTTCTTGATACAAAATAAAAAATGGCTGCTTATCAATGAACTTCAGATGACGTCATTAATCGGTAACTTTAATCCGTATCTTTACATCATGATGGTACCAAAAGCTGCAGATTAATCAGTGAAAACCAAACGAAGCTGCTTCTGCCCGGTTCGGTTTGCTGCCATCTGAAACGGAATGAGCCGCCCCACACTGGGCCCGGCCCGTTCCGTATGGGGCCCCTCAGGCCATATGAAGCAGCTTTAATGGCTGCTGCTGTTTCACACTACGAGCCAATCTGGCGGCGCTCCTGCAGCCATCAGAGAGCTGTTACTTCACTACAGCAGCAATAAAAGCGGCCCGGACCTCCTGCGGTGCCGGATCGTTCCAGAACCTCCGCATCTCACTGCAGTGATGCAGATCAGAGCGTTGTTTATGTCAGGACACGGATCCAATCTGGAGTTTCCAGGGCTCTGGCGCGGAGCGGCCATCTGGACCGGGGAAACCAGAACAAGAATCTGCTTTTATCTGCCCTCCGTCCAGAGAGCGTCGCCTCCCCAGACGTCGCAGAATGGAAACGACATTCGACAGAAACAACCAGTGAAGTTTGTTATGGTGCAGCTGCTTCCTACAGCTGATGGCTCAACAAGATGGCTGCCGCTGCGCTCTGGGTCGGAACTGTCTGCGATTTCAACACTGGGGTGGAAAGTTGTACGTTTCCAAACTTTATTCCTCATCTAAGCTGAAAACATCTGACTCATCCCTGTCGGTTCGGTACCGACCCATTCAAAATGTTTACATCTGGAACCAAGAGCAGAAATGCAGCGTTCAACTTTAAACATGGCATGGAAACCAAGCAGAAAGGACTCCCAGCTATCGCTGCGGTTTCTCATTCAGCTGGACACAGACATGTGGACCGAACCAGAACCTCCATGCTTCTGGAGAACAGTCGGCTGGAGTCCAAGTCCAGCTGTCTGTAGCGTCCGGTCGGCCCAAACGACCCACAGCCTATAAAATGCAAACTGGGAGATTTCCAACAGCTACTTATGCTGCATTCAGGTGCAGCTGGGAAACTAGGCTTTCTGCAAAAACTAAAACTGCAAAACTTAGTTACTGTGATTTTTATTTTTAGTTTTTTACTTTTACATGCTTAACTATAAACATTTTTATGAAATCTTTATATTATTAAAGATCTAAAAATGCCTTCAGATTGTTGCAATTCCTTAATTTTTTGGGTCATAAATTCTTTTTCTGTTTCGTTAGAAATTTTTTACAGATCTTTACTTGTGATTGAACAAAAACATTTCAGGTGCAATAAATGGTCCCCGGGCCACAGTTTGGGCCCCCCTGCTGTAAACCCGTTAACTTGGGCTTGTCTGGGTTTAAAATCTTTGAAGTCGTGGCATTGTTCTTCGTTGGCATGTCGTTGGCATGTCGCTGCTCCAGCAGCAGAGTAAAGAAGGAAAGCTGATGATTAGAGGAGCAGCGGCTCTGTCTGCTGCTCGGCTTTCATCCTCTGAGGCCTTCACCGCCTCACGTTCAGCTCTTTTTTGCATCTTCTCCTGTTTTCTAGTTTTTTCCAGCTTTTCTTTTTAAACTGTCTGATTTGTGTCCGTTTCCTCCTGTGTGTTCTGCAGGCTGGATTTTCTCCTGAAGTCTTTTCGTCACCGCTCATCGGTTTTCTCATGCTGGGATTTACATTAGTGAATCTGGTAAGGACTCTGTTTCTTCCTTTAAATTGGCTTTCTGGCCATTAAGGTGTGCTCTCACCGTGTTCCTATCGTGTCGTGTTATTTGTTTGCTTCTCTTTTCTGCGTCAGCCGCTGGAGGAGTTGCAGAGGAAATTATTTATATGTGCTGGAGGCATTTTTTGTTGGGATTTAGCTCAGCGGCGGCGCCTCATTCAGAGGAGTGAGCTCTAAAAGAAGCACCACAGGCAGATCGATACTGCAGAGCTTCTCTTTTATGCTCTGAGGGACCATATTTGTTAAATGGAAGAAACTCGCGTCACACAAATAAGGCCGTCCAGGTGGGATTGAGATGCAGGAGCTCATTTCTGAGGATATTGATTTGTTTCCTGATAAACATTTAACAGGATTTGCTTTAGAAAGGTTATGATTACAATCTGGTTTTATCCTTATCACAATATTTCTGTGCGTAGATCAATACTGTAATCAATATTAGTCTGCTTTTAATCATATTTATGATATTTATATGAATAGTTAAATGCTCTCAATGGTGGGAGCCGCTAGCTACAAACTTAGTTGTGCTAATGCTAAAGCGCTAAACCAATATGGTATCTAGAAGCTGATGCTAAAGTGCTAATGCTAAAGCAATGGAAGACTGCTGAGTTACACAATGCTATACTTAGCTTCCCACCACAGAGTCGACCAATCACGTCTTGTTCTTGACTCATTTTTCTTTTTCTTTTTTTTTCTTTTTTTGGCAATCTTTATTCAACTGAAAGTTTACTAAACAGCTAAATAAATCAGAAATTACACAGAAAAATTAATTCAGGGGAAGCTATGTGTGCTATTCACTGTCAAAGTTAGCAAAAATGCTAAAACACTAAAATGAGAAACTAGCTGCGCTGTTAGCAGGTTAGCATGACTCTTTCATAACTTCATCCAGATCTAATTAGTATGATTTTTTTTTTTTTTTACCTAAGAGGGACTCGATAAAAAAAACATTTAAAATATTTTGTTTAATATTTGTTTGTTTATTTAAGGATCCCTGTAGAAACTATTCTACAAAACTCCTGAAGCCACAAAGTCAAAA